AGCTCTTTTGAATTTTAAAGAGTAATTAGAATTCAGATACTTTTACAACCGAGTGTTTTGCAATTGCAAGTACTTTAACGACCGTTACGAAGTTACGAATATATTCTTTAATCGCTTAAAAAGAATTTAACATTTAGTTTTTTTCAACTTTTACTTTCGATAATTATTAATTTCAAATTCAAATAATGATTTTATAATTTTCTTAAGCTTTATATAATCTTTTCGCTTTTTTATAAATTCTTTAAATAATCGCTTAAGGTCGTTATAACAAGTACCTACTTAAATTTATTAAGGTTTAATTAGTATATAAAAATAAAGTGCTTATAGAAATCTCAATTTAAATATAATCTTTGCAGCTTTCTTTTCGGCTGCTATTATACGGTAAATAAAATTAATATAATCTAATAAATATTAAAAATAAAAGCATTTAATTAAAAATTTATTATATAAAACGATAGAACACTTTATAATCGTATTAGCTTATAATTATATCTACAAGCTCGAATATCTATTATAGTTGAAAAATAAATAAAAGAAATTCATATTTTAACGGACGCTTGCCGATTTATTTATAAGTGCCGTCTTATTATCTATATATTAATCAAGTTATTAATTTATTAAAGATTGCAAATCAATTAAACTCGATCTTTATCGAAGTAGATAATGAAACTTATTATTCTTTTTTTATTAGACGAACGAACGGTCGAAACGCTCGATGTATAATAGAAATGCTAGACGAAAAAGGACGTAATCGTAGCTAGTTAATTAGAATAGACGAATATCGAGTTAAGCGGTTTTTAAATAACGGCTATAAAATTAAGCTATTTGTTAAATAGATTAGTAAAAACGAACATAACGACGGATATTATAGAATTAGTATTATTAACGAGCAAAAGACTTTTTATATACAAAAGAGAAGTATTGCAAAAAAAGAAAATAATAAATTCGATAGCTTGCGAAAGCCTTTTGAATTTTATTATTATAAATTAATAGATGAGTTTATATAGATAGTTTTAAAATCGTTATTATATTAAATAAAATATATATATAATTAACTTTAAATATAATTTATAAATTTAAATATTAAAATAATTTATTAATATATTTATATCGATTTTAAATACAACAAGTCGGTTAATTCTTTTAATTTAAAACTTTAAGATATAACGACCTTAAGCGATTACTTAAAAGAACTTACGAAAGCGCGGAAGTTCATATAAAAGCTTAAAAGAATCTTAAAGTAATAATTTAAAATCAACAATTACCGAGTGTAAAGGTCGAAAGTAGTTGAAGTTTATATATACGAAAGTAAAAGCGTTAAAGACTCGTAAACTATAGTTTATAAGTCAAAAGCGGAGAATAAGAGAATACGAAGAATACGAAAGAAAAAATAAAGGAAGTAGCTTAGCGCATATAAAGTGCGTCCAAGAGACCTAGCGTATCGTTACACAAGAAACCGACGATTAATAAATATAATTAGTAAATATAATTAGTAAGTATAATTAATAAATATAATTAGTAAATATAATTAATAAATATAATTAGTAAATATGATTAATAAATATAATTAGTAAAAATAATAAGTAAATATAATTAATAAGTATTATTAATAAATATAATTAATAAATAAGATAAATAAAAGTATTTTTGTAAAATATAAAATTTATAATTAATTGTGAATTTTACTTTATATAAACTTAAGCATTGAATTTAAGAATGATCTTAATTTCGTATCGTTATCTTTAACGCCGTAAAACAACTCCGGAGCTAGCTCGTTTTTTTTCTAAATCAATTGCATAATACGTTAAAATAAAATAAAATCGCAATCAGCTTCTTTAAATTTAGCATTCTTTTCGAATCTTTTTATATTTTATTAAACGGTTAGATTCGGCAATTCGTATTCAATCTTATCGGTATTTGCTTTAATTTTAACTCGCTAATACTTCTTTTTATCAAAAGAAAAGTAGACGTAAAAAGGCTTGATTAGATAAAGATTAAAAGTTATAATATTAGTTCAATTGATTAAAAGCATAATAAAATGAATTTTTACTTAGTTCGTTTTGAAACCGTGCTTATTAAGTCTTAAGCTATCAATTTAAAGAAAGCTTTTTTACTCTTTAAATTAGCAGCTCGGCACTTTTTTATTAAAGACCGCGCTATACTTTATTAGTAGCGATGAAATTGCTAAACGATTATTATATAGCGTAACTTTATATTATTAGCAAAATATAAATATTTAAATGAAATAAATGCTTACTTATGCGTGTTAACGTGCTAATTGCCGAGTGACCTTCTTTATTTCTTTATCGATAATCGAGACGTATCTATCGCGAAGTATATCATTATTTTCTTTTTCGTTTTTTCGCAAATTAAATTCTTTATAAACCTTTTCGTTTGAATTAAATGCTTTATCAACTTAATCGCTATTTAAGTATTTTCTATTATTAAATCTAATTGTAAAAGAAGCGGCTTGCATAATAAGATTATCCGCGTAAATGCTTCGATTCTTTTTAAAATCGATTAGTAAATTGCTTAATAAATTAAAGAAAAGAAAAAGTACCGTTTATTTATAAGATTCTTTTGCATTTCGGCCTATCGAGTTTTCCTTTCAGCTTTTAATGCTTAAGAATATTTTAAGGTTTGTTTTTAAATTGCAAAAAGCTGATTAGCGGCCGCTTAATCTCGTTTTTTAACTTTTCGAAGCTTATCTGCTTAAGGATCTTGTTTTAGCTTTACTGTACGAGCATTAGCCTTTATCGTATAAAGATTAGTTGATAATTAGTTTCTTTTTAGCTTTCTTTTTTAAGAAAAATTAATAAATTAATAAAAGTTAAAATACTACGTAAAAAAAATATTTACTTTGCGCTTGCTAAGGTTTTTTAGTACCGGATTGCTTGCCGCTACGATTGCCGTCGTATCGGCCGTATTCTAAGAAAGACGTTTTTAATTAATAAATAGATTAGTAAATAAGAAAATGATTCTTATTATAGATTTTTCAACCCTTTTTATTAAATCAAGCTGATCTATATTTGCAATAATACTTTCTATCGAATCAAGCTGATAAGCGGCTATATTAAATAGTATTATAAAGAAGCTAAACGTTAAGAGTAATTGTTTAAAGTAAAATTAAAAGTAATAAAATAAAAGTATTAAAATTAAAAGTAAACTCGTGCATTTTATTTTTAAAACATCTTAGCGCGGCCGCTAGTGAATTTACGAAGTGATAAAGCAGCCGCAGCTAAGATAAGGCGGCCGCAGCTAAGATAAGGCGGCCGCAGCTAAAATAAAGCGGCCGCTTCGCGCAATTTTTACTTTATAAAGTAAAGTCTAATTCTTTTTTATTATTACTTAATAATCAATTACAACTATCGCTTTTTTATTTGCTACGCTTTTGAATACAACGCTATTTATTGCTTTATAAAGTCGTCCTTTTCTTATTTAAAATTATTAACTTATTAATCGTAAACTAGATTATCGCGATCAAGTCTTTTTATTAATACTTTTAAATAGCTTCTTTATTAAACGAACCTTTACTTTCGGACCGACCTTTTTCTATCGATATATTAAGCATTACGGCTAAAAGAGATAACGCAAGCTAAAATAAGTTAATTGATAAAGCAATTGAGAATCAAGCGATTGAAGGTCAAGCGGCTAAAGGTTAAGCGGCTAAAGGTCAAGCGGTTAAAAGTCAGGCGGTTAAAAGTTAAGCAGATAAGGACGAAGCACAAGAAAGTGAAGCAAATATAATACGCAGCGAAAGCGTAAAAAAAAAAACTTAAATTTGCAAAGTAAATAAAGTAAGTTTATATTTAATTAATCGGAGTATTACTAATACTTTTTCAATTACTTTGCTTAGCGCAAATCCTTATCTTTAGTTTAGCAAAGCTCAATTAGCTACGGATGCGCTAGACTTTACTTTTGCTAAGCGCCGCGCTATTACAACTCGATAGCTATTCGGTTAATATTTAATTAGTAAATTGATTAGTAAATCAATTGCAAATAGCTAATAAGCATTTACAAAATTTTTTAACTTTACTTTTGCTAAGCGCCGCGCTATTACAACTCGATAGCTATCCGGTTAGTATTTGATTAGTAAATTAATTAGTAAATCAATTGCAAATAACTAATAAGCATTTATAGAAATTCTTAAAACCTTGCGCGGTATTGCAAGTTTATAATAAAGAACCGATTTATCTTCGTCTTTTTTTCGCCGAATTTCTCAAGGTTAAGCTAATAAGTATTAATTACTTTATTAATTAATAATTGCTAATTTCTATTATTTTAAGTAACGCTTTTCAAACACTAATAAACTCTCGCGCAAATATAGACTAGCACTTATTATCTCTTAGATCTCGATCCGGTAATGTTTTTAACTTATAATTAATAAATATTTACTAATTAAATTTTTCTTTAGTAAACGCAATTAGATTTACTCCGGCTATTCAATCCGAAATGTGACGACCTTAAGCGATTACCTGAAGGAACTTACGAGAGCGCGGGGTTCACATAGGAGCTCAAAAGAATCTCAAAGTAATGACTTAGAATCAACAACTACCGAGTGTAAAGGTCGAAGGTAGCTGAAGTCTATATACACGAAAGTAAGAGCGCTAAGGACTCGTGAACTATGGTTCATAAGTCAAGAGTGGGGAATAAGAGAATACGAAGAATACGAAGGAAAAAAGGAAGGAAGTAGCTTGGCGCATGTAAAGTGCGTCTAAGAGACCTAGCGTGCCGTCACACTACCCCCCCGTCCGAAAAAAGCTCGTCTTCGAGCGTTTATCCATTGCTTTATCACTATTTAAGTGATCGTAGTTATTAACACCGTCCGAATAAGCCTTGATCCATTCGAAGAGCTTCGCGGGAAGGCCGGGGAGCTCTTTATGTTTTAAGTAGAAGTCACGTACTTTAAAAGGAGCGTACATGAAGTCGGAGGCGGAGTACTAAGTAAGGTCAATATCGCGGCCGAGCTAAGAAGCGCGGTACTCAAAGTGCTTTTTGGTTTAGCGTACGGCTAAGATGTTCTCCACTTCGTACTCAAGTTCGCTAGTGATATTAATCGAGTCAGGTTCAAGAATGATTTGCCCGGAGGTGGGGTCATTAAAAGCTTTTCGTAATCGTCCGGAGTAGAAGACTAGGTGAACCTTCATTGAATCGGGGAGCTTGAGTTTGAAGCTGCTGTAGACGTTGTCGGTAACCTCGAACGGTCCGTTGGCGTTCTGTAAAGAAGTATTCTTCGAAAGCTTCCAAGTTATCGAGGACGCGGGCTTGCCAATGACGTGCTCGATAGCTTACACCGTCTGAGAGCTTCTGTTCAAGGTTAAGGATCCGCTCGATACGAGCCCGACCCTAAGAAGCTGAGGATAAGGCTCTAAGGGTGTTGAACTTAGCTGGAGTGCGAAGGTTGGTTGGCCTATAAAGAGAAGGTGGTTCATCGTCGTCGGCGAAGAGGCGGCGAAGGTTGGCGGTTCTATAAATAGAGGGAGTGGTCTGAAGGACCGAGGGCCGGTATAGCTCTTTGCCTTTGGAATTATCTTCGAAAGAGACTTAGAGAGGCTCTAACGGGCGTTCTGTAGTTGGCAGGACCGCTTAAAGCTGGTCTAGTTCCTTTCGAGCTCGACGGGCCTTTTTTTCAGCCCTTTTAGCGAAAGTTTTTTGTTCGCTAGCGCTTTTATCGAGCTCTTCGTTGCGGGTTTTCATGTTTGCGAAGAGCTTCTTAAGCTTAGCAGCCTTTCGTTAGGACTAGAAGAGGGCTTAGTGTTGGGCCAAGGCTTCCTCGAGGTTGGTAAAGGCCGAGGGATCATCTTCGTCGTCTTGCTTACTAGTAGCTTCTTCTTGAATAAAAGGAACTACTAGTTAAGCCGTAGAAAAGGAGGAAGGAGCTGCTGGAGCAGCTTTAAGAGGTGTGCGAAGGATTTTGCTCGCAAGGCGAGAGTTGCTGTGTTGTGTAGGTGCTATCTTTCAAGTTATACTTGGAATAAGCCTTCTCGTGACCGTTGGAATCGTCTGAATGTTTTTTTAACGTCCAACTACTAAGGAATTTTAAAGAGGAGGAATATTATTAAAGCCGTTCTCGGCGGAGTAAGGTAGTTGTTGATAATATGACGACCTTAAGCGATTACTTGAAGGAACTCACGGAAGCGCGAGGTTTATATAAGAGCTTAAAAGAATCTTAAAGTAATGACTTAGAATCAACAACTACCGAGTGTAGAGGTCGAAGGTAGCTGAGGTCTATATACACGAAGGTAAGAGCGCTAAAGACTCGTGAACTATAGTTCATAGGTCAAGAGTAAGGAATAAGAGAATACGAAGAATACGAAGGAAAAAAGGAAGGAAATAGCTTGGCGCATGTGAGGTGCGTCCAGGAGACCTGGCGTGCCGTCACACGAAATAAACAAAAGCATCGTTCTTGATAATACTAGCATAAGTACTAACAGCTTTTAATAAGTTTAATTTTTTTAAACTTTTTTTTTCGTTCGTTAATTGTTTTAAAACTGCTTTAAAAGTAATATAATAATCGACGAGCTAAGCGAGTACATCAGCTTAGCTTTAAAACGAAGATTCGTCTTACGACTTAAGTGTTAAAAACAATTCTTTTGCAGCTGCTAAACTTTCTTTTGCTTTTATTAGCAATCGTATTAAAAAAGCTTTCGCGCAAAAAGCTTTTAAAAGGTCTTTCATTATCTCGAGCTTAATTATAGCTATAAAAACCGCGACGAAGACGATGCTTTATAATGATACAAATAAAAAAAAGCAAAGCGATAATAAAGAAAACTCAATTGAAAATGATATTCCTTTTTTTTAATATAAAAAAGCTAAAAAATCACTTTCGACGGCTAAAGCTGCTCGCTCCGTTTTATTAGCTAGCAAATCACTTTCGGCAGCTAAAACTTCTTTTCGTTAAAAATCTAAAAAAAAGCAAGTATCTTAAGAAGTCTGCAATTGTTGCGAAAAAAGAAAGTCTAAGCTAACGAAAGCGCCGTCGCTATAAGCTAAGAAGTAAGTTCAATTAATTAATAAATTGATTCTTAAATACAATTATTGATTTATATAGCTATTGCGTTAAGAAAGATCCGACGATATTAAAAAAGCACCGAGCTTTTTATTAAAAAGACTTTCTTTTAGCGTCTTGTTCGAGAGATCACTTACGATTTTAAACAAGACTTTAAATTTCAAAGCGGTGCTTTAGAATGTTTACAAAAAGCTTTAAAAGCATTCTTCGTAAAAGAGTTTAAAAGTAAGTACTTATATATTTATTTACTAATCGATTTACTAATCAATTTATTAATCGATTTACTAATCACTTTTAATAACGAACTTATATGCTATTCACGTTAAACGAGTAACGATTTAAAACAAAGATATAGCGTTAGTTAAGAAATTGCGAGAAATCATAACTAGAAGTTTTGTTTAATAATTTTAGTTTATTATAATATAATGCAATGTAATTGTAAAGTATAATATATATGATTAATAAATATAATAAATAAATATAATGATTAAATAAAATTAATAAATATTCGTAAATTTGTTTTATTTTTAACGGCTTTATATATATTATTTTTAGCTGTCTTACTTTAAACTTATAAGGTTTCTTTATCTTTCGTAAGGAATTTGACTTAAAAAAATCCTCTTTATAGGGTTTAAAAAAAAAGTCCCCTATCGGCCAAGACCCTATGGGGGGAATAGGGAGGAAAACCCCATGGGGCCCCCACCCCATGGAGCAGCCTAAGCTATTAGTTTCTCGAGTCTTCGATTAAATCCGATTTGTTTTTTATAATAATAATTTGTCTTTAAATAAATCGATCGTAATTTTAAAAAAAAGCTTTTATCGTGCTATTATCGAAATAAGAAAAAGAGAATTAAGATTTTAAAAAGAAAAGTATGCTTAAGATAACCTCGTAACTGCTATTATTAATAATAAAAAAATCGGCGTAATTAATGATTCCGCCGATAATAACTTCGACGTCGTTTATTTATTTATCGAAGTTATAAAGATCTTTAAATACAATAATATAAATCAAAGCTCGATCCGTTATAATAAGTAGTTTAATTATCTTAACTACTTTTTTATTTATTACGTTGACTTTAGATTTATTATCGAAAAAGGATCTGCTTTTAATTATATCGTCGATATTAATAAAAACTTTTAAAGTTTTTATCGCTACTTCGAAGCAATTGCGAGCGATAAGTTATTTACGAATTTGCGTCGTTAAAAAGTTTAGCTTGCCTTTTTTATTCCGACTTAAACGTCTAATAATTAAAGCGTTTATAAAAATAAGCTTACTTTAAAAGACCTTTACGTTTTCTTTAGCATCGGGAATTATTAAAATATAATAGCTTAATAGCTTGTTGAAGCGAAAGCTAAATCCGAATAAGTCTTTAATTTAAATTTCGATTCTCGATTTTATAATCGCCGCTATTGCTTTTTTTTAAGCTTTAATAATAACGTAAAAGTTAATAAACTTCTTTCGTTTATAAGTCCTTTTCTTTTTTCTTTTTAGCATTCGTTAAATAATCTTAACCTTTTTTTTTATATCTTTTATAGCTTCGTCGGCTTTAGTTAATTTAAAAAGTTTAAAAGACTTTTTTTTAATTATACTATCGAACAACTTATCTTTTAAGTCTATCTTTATAGTAATATTCGATTTTTAAAAAACACGAGCTTTAAAAGTGCCGTAGTTCTTTTCTTTTTGTTATCGAATATTCTTTTCGATTTTAATAAGCTTAGATCTTTTCGAAAGCGAGAAAGACTTTTTAGCTTTATTTCTTACGGCGGCGTTGATTTCGATCGAGGCGACTTTTATGCTAAATAAGTAGTTAAGCGTATTGATTTATTTTATAATATTAATATTTTTAATATCGACTAGTCTTTTAAGAATAATAATAAGTTCTTTTAATTGGTTAGTTAGTTGCTAAGCATTTTAATCGAGCTGATATTAAGCTAGCTATTAGATTGGTTATTAATAAGAAAGCAAGTGTTTATAAGTCTTAGGTCCGCTAATAAGTCGATTTTTTAAGATGTTGTCGTATTCCGTTTTACGAACGTTTAATACGATAGATTTAAATTAAGTCTTTTTTTGCTTTTTTTAAATAATAAAAGTACCGATCCTTTTAAGTTTTAAGTAAAAGCGTCCGTAATTATTAATGTAAATACATCTTTTATTAATTATATCTTTAAAGGCTTTATATTTATCTCGGTATTAATAAAGAGTTTAAGTTGTGTCTTCGAAGTTCTTGCAAAAGCTATAGTCTTGTATTTGATTTTCGTATCTTTTATCTCTTTTTTTCTTCGTTTTTATAATCCGTAGTCGATAATAATAATATAAACTTTACTTTCGAAGCTGACTTTATTTCGAGCATCTTAAGCGGTATGCTTAATAAAAGCTTCGTTGTAATTGTCGAATCGAACTTAAAGCTAAGATTAAATAAAACGTCGAAAAGTTAAGTTAGCGACTTAGTCTTCGAAGTAGTTAATTCGATTATAAATCGTATTAATTTGCAAATTAAAAAACTTTTTAATTATAAAACTTATTTTATTAATTTTTTTTTTATTCGTGAATCGTAATTCACGAGTGAACGGCACTATTATTAAAGCTTTCTTAGCAGACTTAAGCACGCTAGCCGGCTCGGTATGTTTTTTAATTAAGATCCGAATATTTTTAATAAAGTTAGTTAAAAGAGACTTTTCTCGATTTATAGCTTCGATAATCTTAGCACTTTAATCGGTTTTAAAAGCGAATGCGACGAAGTCGTCGAAAGCGGTATAAAAGTCTAAGTCGAATTCGTCGATTTTATAATATTTAATCGTTTTGTTTCGAATTCCGACGAGCAATTTAAAAAGAAATAAGCGGCTTTATTCGGTTTTATTTAAAAGGTGCATTAAAGTAAGTTTTTCGAAGACTCGAAAGAAAGTGCGATAATAGTTTTTTAAATTATTAACATTTTGTTCTTGCATAGCAAATTCTCGCAAGAAAGCGATCGAGTCTTTAATCTATTAAGTATCGTTTTTACGAAACTCGGCTTTTAAAGCTTTAACGAAAGCAGCTTAATCTTTCTTAACTTTTTATTCGAGCAAGCTCTTAATAACTTTTTTGCGAAGCTTATCGTAATAATAAAAAAGCTTAATAAACCGATCGTTTTTAAAAATATTAAAGTTATCGCAAGTCTCTTCGTACTTTTCGATAAAGTCGGTAATATTAGCATTATTAAAGCAAAGAGCTCTTAAGGCACTTAGCAATAGCATGCGAGTAATTATAAAAGCGTAAAAGATAACAAAGTCGATTATAACTAACGCAAAACTTAATAAAAAAGCAAGAGAAGCAAAAGGAAAAAGAGTAATATAGATCTTAAAACCGGTGTTGATTTTAAAAAGCATTTCCGAAGCAAGTGTTTCCGATAAAGATAAAAGTTTTAATTGAAAGTCGAAATAAAATAAAAATAAACCGAAGCTTATAAGAATACGATTAAAAGATTTAATAAATTTAAAAGATTCTAACGAAAAGAGAAGTGATTTAGCGCCGACTTCGATATTAGAAATCTTAAAAAGGTTTTCGATATTTTAAAGATCAGATATATATATATATTAAAAATGATCGGGTTGATAAAAGGTTTTTGAATTGTTTAATTTTAACTCGTGAATCGAGTTCACGAGTAAAATAAGCGATTTTCGTAAAGTATTTTCGATCCGAAATTAAAAA